TTCAGCGTGGCTCTGCATGCCCTGTTATGCACTGGGCCATGGGTGACCCACACCTACACAAGGAACTATATTACAATAAAGTTCCAGGTGGGTGTTATGCTCTCCTAGAAGGCAGTTTCCTTAAAAAAACAAAACAAAATAGGTAGTTCTCGACTTACGTCCATTTGTTTAGTGACCGAAGATACAGCCACACTGAAAAAAAGTGACTTATGACTTATTTTTTTACTCTTACGACCGTTGCAGCGTCCCCCGCAAATCAAGCGATCAAAATTCGGACGCTCGGCCACTGTCTGGCACTTATGACGCTTGCAGTGCCCCCACGGATCCCCTCTTGCGACCGCCTGACAATCAAGGGTCAATGGGGAAGCCCCGGGTGCCCTTTTAACGGCCGCGTCGCTAACTGAACCGCTGCAGGGATTCAACTCACGCCTGTGGCGGGGGAAGGTTGTAAAATGGAGCAGAACTCGCTGGGCGACGGCCCTCGCTTAGGGAAAAGAAATGTGGGGCTCAGTCGCGGTCGTAAGACGAGGACCTCCTGCCATCGCCCAGCCCTGAGCACATTAAATGTCGGTCATGGCTTGTCACGAATGAGGGGGGACGCACAATCCGTTCTCCAGAACTTTTGATTCCTTCCAGCTCCATTAATTTTGCTCACTGTTTTTTCAGCCTGGATTTTAAATTCTGCCTCTTGTTTTCTCCAGGGAAAACCACCTGGAATTAAACTGGGTTTTCCCTCCAGTTAATAAGCAGGAGGGACATGATGGCAGCCTTCCAATATTTGAGGGGCTGCCCCAAAGAAGAAGAGGGGGGTTAACTTATTTTCCAAAGCGCCTCAAGGCAGGACAAGAAGCAATGGGTGGAAACTAATCGAGGAAAGCAGCAACTGAGAACCAAGAAGAAATTTCGAGAACCAAGAAGAAATTTCCTGGCAGTGAGAACAATTACTCAGTGGAACAGCTGGCCACCAGAAGTTGCAAACGCTCCAACGTTTGGAAGTTTTTAAGAAGATGTTGGACAGCCACCTGTCTGAAATGATATCAGGTCTCCTGCTTGGGGCTGGACTAGAAGACCTCCAAGGTCCCTCCCAGCTCTATTCTGATTGATTGATTGATTGATTAAGTCATTTTGCAAAAGGCCAGCAGAGAGCAAGTGGGAGGTTCTTTCTTCACCGTTATCTGAGCAGACTTAAGGAGGGGCTTGATATGACGGTATATTAATTAAACGCCCGTTAATGCCATGTGCATAATAATCTCTCTGGTTTTATTGCATCAGCGCATGGGCGGCTCAGAACAGAGCAAGGAGTTGGCTGAGGCTNGCACGGAACGCTGTTCCCTTCCCACCAAAGGTGGTGCCTATTTTTCTACTTGCATTTTTTACGTGCTTTCGAACTGCTAGGTTGGCAGAACCTGGGACAAGTAACGGGAGCTCACTCTGTTACGCGGCGCTAGGGATTCGAACCGCCGAACGGCCGACCTTTCTGATTGACAGGTTCAGAGTCTTAGCCACTGAGCCACCACATCCCTCCTGGGGATTTGTTACAGTTCTATTATTTTTATTTTTATTTTAAAGGCGCTCTTGAGGATATTGTGACAACATTGCACAGATGGAGGGAATCACACCAGGTCGTGCAATGTGTATGTACAACGGGTCGAGGCTTGTGGATCTCACAACGCTCCTTCTCAAACCGTGTTTATTCACACTACGACGACGGGATGACTACGCAGGGTTTCCTCAGACCACAGCGTGAGTTGCGAATGTGACACGCCACAAATACCCTCACAAACGCAACACGCATAACCCCACCCTCCCTCCGTGCCGCTGCCACGGCGGCAACTGCGGGGCCGTGGCCGGCGAGCGCCCTTTTATAGTCCGCTCCGGGGAGGGGCGGGACGGTTGTTACCCCGGCAGCCAATCGGAAGGGCTTGGGTGACGTCGCCGCCCGCCGGCCCCAGCCTGGCCTGGCGTCACGTGGTCGCCGGGCGTCGCCGCCGCGCCTGCGCGGCTCCTCCTCCTTCTCCTCCGTCGTCTTCCCCCCGGCGAGGTTTCGCCGCTGCTTCTCTCGGTCGTTGCCGCGGACGGTAAGCGGGACGAGGGGGGAACGAGACCAACTGGATGTGAAATGGCTTCGTTGAGGCCGGGAGGGGCTCATTAAAAAACAGCCCCGCTCGCTCGTCCGGCGTTGAGGACGTAAAGGGGGGGGGGGACTACACCTCCCATGCTCCCCAGCCTCGCCTGGCCGAGGCTTATGGGCGTTGTAGCCCCCCACCCCTTCCGCTCCTTTTCCCAGACCGTTGCGGCAGCGCCTCCCTCCCTCCTTCCTTCGGCCAACTCACCAGCCTGGCCGGGTTCCAGCTGCGGAGCCAGGACTCCCGGCCCCATCATCCCCGGCGGGACGGGAGTCTCCCCCCCACCCCCAGCCCTATTTGGGAAGGGGAGGCGACACAGGGCGGGAACCCAGAAAAGGCAGCCAGTCTGGGGCGGGGTGTCGATTGGGGGAGACTCCCCCCACCCATTTTTTGGGGGGGTCTTCGGGTGGGGGTGGGGCTGATCTCCCTGGGCAGGGTCCTCCCTTGGGTCCGCTCAAGATGGGGGGGTCCTGAAGAGAGGCCACCTTTGGGTGTCCAGCCTAGCAGCTGGAGGAGGGCTCACATCTGGGAAGTCTTCTGGGGGGGGTCTCCCTGGTGGGGCATGCCCGGAAGAGTGGGGGGGGGGTTTCTAGGAAGCCTGCTGATCCCCTGAATCCCGGGACAGTCTCTGTTGGGAGAGGGGGTCAAGGGGAGGGTCCCGGACACCCTCTTGCATCCTCGCCAGCTGTGAGCAGCAAAGAACTGGCATTGTCCCCTTTGGGGGTGGGGGTCTCCCTTTGGACCCAAGAGGAAGTTGGGCCTTTATTTGGGGAGGGGGAGTGTGGGTTGCCCCAGTCCTTGCTTAGAGGAAGGCTACCCCCCCTCCCAGAACCAGCTGCGGGGTGCAGAGCTTGTATTGTACAAATATGCGTGGGTCGGTGTGTGGGGGGGGGTCTCCAAACTTGGCCCCTTTAAGGCTTGTGGACTCCAACTCCCAGAATTCCCCAGGCAGCCCTACTGGCCCAATTGTCCCTGCGGCCAGCCAGAACTGGCTTGTGTCCAGTGGTTCTGGGTGAAGGGCTTCCGTTTGACAGCTGTCAGGGGAAATCTCCAAATGTGGCCCCTTTTAAGGCTTGTGGACTTCAACTCCCAGAATTCCCTAGCTGGCTGAGGCAATTCTGGGAGTTGAAGTCCACAAGCCTTTAAAAGTGGCCCAGTTTGGAGACCCTTGTTGTAGGTCATTGAGCAGTGTTTCTCAACCTTGGAGACTTTAAGTCCTGTGGACTTCAACTCCCAGAATCCCCCAGCCAGCAGAGCTGGCTGGGGAATTCTGGGAGTTGAAGTCCACAGGACTTAAAGTCACCAAGGTTGAGAAACACTGTATTGAGGTCTAGACTCACCAGCCAGAGAGGCCTTTCCCTAGCTGGGTCCACTTTCCCAGTCCAGTTAGTAGA